ACATCAATATCTTTTGAACTTGCAAAATGATTAATCAAGATCTTTATTACTATTGTTATTGGATTATTATTATTATTTATCCATTTATTAAAGAAATTGATCAGAATATCTACAAGAGATAAACTATTTAACAAGGAATATATTGTTGTTGTCTTATTATTATTAACAGTTGCAACGAAAGTCACAAAAAAAAAATAAATGATTACTAACGGATAGGTTTGGCATATAGTAAGACAAAAGGAGTTAAAAGTTAGAATATATACTATGTGAGATATCTATACCGCCATGTATATTTTCAAACCATGAGTCTGTTGATAAATGAAATCTAAAACGATGATGCACATAGATATTTTCCCTTAAATGCACCTGCTCACCTACTCATCCCTTCTAAACGTGTGCGTCATGGTTTCTTTCTCTGTAGATACGCCAAAAAAAACCTACTTCCTTGTCTCTTAAACCTCGTTTGACTTTGTGTAAATCAAGTTCCCATTGTTTCATGGGATTATCTGTTCCCCTGTGCAACAATGAATGGAGGCATCTGCAACAATGAATGAAGGCATCTGGCAGTGTAAATGAAGGCATTAGTACTTCCCCACTTTCTTTGCACCACATGTTCTTGCACAAAATAAATGTTGCATTTTTAGGACTTACAATGGTAGAAAACAAGTGACTGTCTCTCACATTAACTGCTTTCCCCCTCTCTCTCTCTCTTTCCCTCTTTTCAGAATGAAAGTCTGATAGTTATTATGCGTATCACAATTCATATGAGTATATGTAGAAACCATATCTTGGAGCAATCGTGCCATATCTTGGACCAAGTATTGTCCCCCCGCCTTTTTCTCTTTCTTACTCTGAACTCTATATACACACGACATAGAATTCTACATGTTACAATCGTACAAATTTAGGATTCTTTTCCATTGTTGGCAGATTTGCTTTCCAGTTATCTTTGATCTGGTGAGAAAAATGAAGCAATTATATGTTTCGGCTGATTTGAAAGGAAGACGTCCGTTTTTATTTATTTATTATTATTATTTAAATTTTATATAAATAAATTAGATATTCATAAATAAAATATATAAAACAATAGAAAAAACTTAAAATAAAACTTTCAAAAAAATAAAAATACTTTTATATAGATGTATATATATTTCTTTGCCTTGGTAGAAGCGGGCCGAAGCAAACCGAATTTGACCAAAGCAGCCTAAATTGGCCCGAACATGACCAAAGTAACCGGAAGTGATAACACCAAGCTTTGCTCTAAGCCTAAAATTCGAAGACTTCGATATCTTCAGCCTAAGCGAAGAGAATTTGACAACATTGGTCTTTCCCTCTCAAATTGGAACTCTCTCTCTCTCTCTCTTCTCACAAATTGGGCATCTTTTTGTATCTCTTTATTCCAATCCTATTTGACTCCCTCAGGGTCATAGGTCTCCCACTCCCATCTTCTGAAAAGGTACCTTGAAATTTTTTTTCAATATGAAATTTGGAATCCAATCTCGAAAGAAAATGAAATTTGAGTTTTTTTTACACTTAGATCTCACCACCTAAAAATAAAATCTTCTCTATTTAATCTTGAGGTTATTATTTTTTCAAGTGCATGGACTGTACGATTAGAATTTTGTTTTTGTCAAGGCTAATTTATGGGTTGAAGAGGTTACATCCCAGATATTTAAGGTCCTAAAATTAAATTGTAAGCAAGGTTTTTCTTGAGGGAGTAAATGGACATTTTACTCCCCTTAGAATATCTTTGGCTCTAATCAAATAGTTAACTAGTGGAGATGGAAGGTAACTCATAAGTTAGATATCTTTTTGAAAATTAGTTATAAAAAAGGGACAATCTAGCCATTCGATTTCAAACTGGATAGCTTGGGGAGTGTTATGAAGTTCCTACAATTTTCTTTGAACTTTGAGCACATACTCGCAATTATCTGATTTGAAACTTGACTGACGATAACGATTGCCTTGTGCCAAAAACAAAAGGAAAATTGTTTCATGCGGGCTTGACCACATTTCTATAATATGCGGTTCCAAGTTATAAAGCATCCATCTTAAAGATGGATGCAAATAGGTGGTCCATCTAAAAAAAATTGAATCTAAAAGTCCAAATATTTTCTTAATAAAATTATTATTTTTAATTTTAAAAAATTATTTTATTTTTCATATTCATGTCATGATTGTCATGATCTCCATGTTAGACATTACATGACCTTAAAAACTAAGTAAAAAAAATCCATGCCAAAATAGATTTTTAAGAAGTGACTCATGGAAATTGTGTCCAAAACAAAAAAAACTCTGAATTACTTATCTCTCTTTGTATATATATATATATATATGGGATATTCCAATATAGATAGAGATAGAGATAGAGAGAGAAAAGAGGAGCAAAATAGGTCTTAAAAATGTCTTGTATGACTAGTATAACGCAAAAATTGACTAGATCAATACCCCAATTTTCATTGGATTCTCGCAACGTCACCCAATCTAAATTTAGTCGCCGTATCCAATACGCGCTTGTCTCACAAACCAAACACAAAAACACCCTCCTAACCTCTCATTCAATCCCCTAACTGTGAACCACCTCCCTCACAGCACCCTAACTTTACCACCCTCTCTCTCTCTCTCTCTCTCTTGCGTGACCATCTCTTCCTCTATTTAGTTGTCCAATTCCACAAGCCTCTCCTCTCTCCAACCCAAAACCTCTCTCTCTCTCTCTCTCTCAATTCCAAACGCAAACCTCATCACCTCATTTATTCTGTGAAGCACAAACCTCTCTCTCTCTCACCCACACACACACCATGGCCACCCTTCTCTTCCTCATTCTCTCTCTAACTCTCCTCCTCTCTTGCTCCGCCTCTTTCGACCTCCCACTTTGTCTCTCTACAGGGATCTCCAACCATGACTGCAATGCCCTCGCAAAAGCAGACCTCCAAGGAACCCTCTCTTTCATTGGCAATCAAATAGACCAAGTTTCTACTGATTTTGGTGGCATAATTCACCAAAAACCTAAACTTCTCTTCACTCCAAAATCGACAAAAGACGTTTGTACCATGATTTTGGAAGTTGGGTCATCTCATAACTTGACTCTTGCACCAAGAGGAAATGGCCATTCAACTGGTGGCCAAGCTCAAGCTCTTAATGGCGTTGTCATGAACATGAGTAATTTGAAGGGTTTCACAATTGGTGCAGAGGAAAGCTATGTAGATGCAGGGGCTGGAGAATTATGGGTTGATTTGTTGAGGTTTACATTGAATCATGAGCTCGCCCCGAGTAGCTGGACCGATTATCTCGACCTAACAATCGGTGGTACGCTCTCGAATGCCGGGATCAGCGGGCAAACCTTTCGGTTCGGGCCTCAGATTAAGAATGTCTTGGAGCTCGAGGTAGTCACTGGTACGATGTTAAGCCTGAGTCTTTGAGCTTCATCTCCCTCTCTCTCTTTCTCACTCTATATATATATATATATATGAAAATTCTTTCTGACGGCGAGTGTACAGTAATTTCACCCCCATAGAGCCATTGCGGTTCAAGGCAGAGTCCCTTTTTGACCAACACGGGCTTATTATGTCCGTAACGGCACTGCATCCATGCCGAAATCACTGTACAATTTCTTGATTCTCTTTGCATGGTTCTAATGTGTGTGTATTTTTTGCTTTAAGTTGGCTATACTGTGCTTTGCATGGGTTTTTTAGCGTTATTATGTTCTGGTCTAAAGTTTTTGGGAATTTTACAAGAAGGTTTCTTTTTTTCGGTTTTTCTATTCCTGTTTACCACTAGTTTGATATTGCCTACAAATTATTGATTTCTAATTTTAGTTCTCACTAGTTAGATATTGCATACAAATGATTGATTTTTTATTTTCAATTTTTAGAGTGTTAATTTTTGTTGTTTATGAGGCAGTCTGATGGTTAATTATTAGCCCGCTTTAGAAATGGGTCGGCCCTATATTGGGGCATCGGATTGCCACAGAAATGCAATAAAACTTTTAAAATAGATAAATCAATAAATAAGATAAAAAGCCTATGGAATAAAAAAGTATAGAAAAGGGGGACCACAATGTAAAATTCTAAAAACCTGGACCAACCTGTAATTGTGCTAAGAAATCCCGGTCCTTGCGTATTTCCATCTTCTATTCTTGCCATAAAAAACCTGGTAAAATAAATAACATAATTACAAAATAACTCCTCTAAAATGGGAAACATTATGGAAAAAAAAAGGAAAAAACTTGAAATAGCTCTATGTAATGTAAAATACGCCCATATAGACAAAAATAGACAACCATTTATGGGATTAAAACTCACCAGGACAGAAAAAAAAAGGAAAATTATCCATTTGCTTGCCTGATTTGGAAATAATTGAGACCTCCAAATGAAAGAATGATGCATATATTGTTGTTTCGTTGAAAGCACCACGCATAAAAACCATGACCAATTCTTATAAGAACGATTCCAAATTAAATCCTTAAAAATAGGGGTTTGAATCGGTTTCTAACACTGGTTTCTTAAAAGGGTTGAAAAATCTATGATTTGGTTCAAATTTGCATAAGAAAGTGTTCGCCGATCTTACAATAAGTTTCCAACTTTAGGAAGTATAAAGTTCACTATTAATTGTCAATCCTTAAAAATTACTTGGAGGGAGGAAGCTTCTCGAGTATGTATAAACAATCTAACAATGTTAGTTTCCAAAAAAGCGGGTTTACTACGTAAACCTATATTTTAATAGTAAAAAAAAGACTTTTTTGGGTTCTTTGGAGTAAGAGAGAGGTCCATGTCTAATATTTGTTTGTTAAAGAATATGCGACTAATACTTTTATAATATTTTCTATTTATGACAAGGAAGACCGAGAGAGAGGTCTATGGCTAATTTATGTCTAATTATTTCTATTAGTTAGAGAGCGAGAGGGGTCTATGGCTAATTTATGTCTAATATTTTCTGTTAGTTAGAGAGAGAGAGGGGTCTATGGCTAATTTATGTCTAATTTTTTCTATTAGTTAGAGAGAGAAAGAGAGAAAGGGGTTTATGACTAACTTATGCGTAATATTTTTGTATTAGTCACTTGGCACTAGAGACATTTGTCATGTGCAATAAGCGTTTTGTCATGTGCAATAAGTGTTTCCGCGGTATATGGCTAACTCATGTCTGATATTTTTCAATTAGTTAGTGATAGAGAGAGAGGTTTATAACTAACTTATGCGTAATATTTTTCTATTAGTCACATGCCACTAGAGACATTTGTCATGTGCAATAAGTGTTTCCGCGGTCTTACGTTGTCGTGATCCGAGTCCATCTTTGTGCCTCGGAGAATTGATGAGCCGGTTCTAGTGGTTCTGAACCAGCTTGAAGGCTGGGTAACCGGTTTGACACACTGGTTCCCTTTTTAAACCAGCATTTTAGAACTCAGTTATGTGGCCTGGATTGCTTATCTACAAATCTGTGTTGGATCACTAGATTGATGATCTAAATCGGATATGGGTTATCTGAAAAATATTAAACAAAATAAAAATTAAAATGAAAGTTTATGGGGTAGGGATTTAGTGGAGACTGGAGACCTAATAAATCTATTGCATAGTCTTTGAAAAAAAAAAAAGGTATATAGGGGTCCTAGTGGGGAATGAGGCTTGGGTCAATACCATTTCAGAACTGATTCAATACGGCTGATTCCCATCCATATCGACGATTCGAATAGCAAAGTGCCAGGTTTTAAAAAATACAAAAAATATGTAATGAGATCATTTACTTTTGAGTCACAATTAATCTTGACCATTAGATGTGAAATTGGGTAGTTATATTTATTCCATTGTCAAAGCCCAAATTCAAAATAAAAGTTTTTCCGTGAAGCACCCAAGCTATTAAATTTCATATCAAATCGTTGTAAATAATTGTGACATTCTTGTGCCAAAAGTATAATCCCTTGTATACTTAAAATGCCGGTCGTGAGTCCTACCATGAATAAATAAACATGGTTGATTATGCACGACAGATCCCTTGATGAGAGTTGTCTGCTGATGACATGTACATTTACATTACAGTACTTGCCAAAGATTTGATAAATTGAGTTGATGAAAGGGAGAAGAGGGATCATACCTTGACTAAGTAGAGAGAGAGAGAGAGAGATAAGATAATGATTTATATACTCGTTAGAGATTTGACACATTGATCTATGGCCTCAAGTCAAGGTGGGACTTTTGATTTGTAAGGGAATCAGGGGTTGGAATTTTGAAGCTCATTTACGTTTACCTACCCAAAAAAAAAAAAAGGGTCGATTTTTTCTTTCACGCAAAAATTTTTTTTGATGGAAATTTGACTTTCTTACCTTTGTTGCACTTGGCATATAAAGTTTAATCTGAAAATGGGGAAATATAGTCGTGGCATCTACTCTTTTGTCTTGTATTTTTCTTTCTCCCATATAATCTCACATATTTTTCTTGAATTTGGGTTTTGCTCCTTTAATTTTAGGTTGATTCATGTTTATTTTGTGGAAAAAAAAAAGGTTTAGGAGAAAGGTTGATATGCAATCAGGAGATGAATAGGGACCTTTTCAATGGAGTGCTTGGAGGGCTTGGCCAATTTGGAGTGATAACTAAGGCCAGAATACTTCTTCAACGGGCTCCTCATAGGGTACAAAATTCATACCAATGCTTCTAGACTTTCTCAATTGTTCCATGGACAGAGAGAGATGTTAGAGAGAGAAAGAGGACAATGTTCGAGAGAGCGAGAGGATGATCTTAGAGAGAGATAAAAGATGATCTGAGAGAGAGAGAGGATGATCCTAGAGAGATATAAGAGTCTTAGAGAGAGAGAAGAGTCTTAGAGAGAGAGATTTCTAGAGATAGAGAAGAGTCTTAGAGAGAGAGATAAGAGTTTTAGAGAGAGATGTTTAGAGAGAGAAGAGTCATAGAGAGAAGAGTTTTAGAGAGAGATTTCTAGAGAGAGAAGAGTCTTAGAGAGAGATAAGAGCCTTAAAGAGAGATTTCTAGAGAGAAAAGAGTCTTAGAGAGAGATTTCTAGAGAGAGAGAGAGAGAGAGGTTTCTAATGAGAAAATTTTATCCACGTTTTGACAGGTGAGATACATTCGAGTGGTATACGCCAAAGTGGAGGATTTTGTAAGGGACCAAGTACGTTTGGTTTCATTACCTAAGGGCCACACCTTTGACTACATCGAGGGGTTCATCCTGGCCAACGAGAATACCATCGACGGCTGGAAATCGGTCCCATTCTCATCCAATCAAACCTTCAATTCCACCCTTATCCCTCAAGAATCCGGCCCCATTCTCTACTGCTTGGAGTTGGGATTCAATTATTTCAATTATACTAGCAACCCCACATTAGAGCAGGTGTCTCTCTCTCTCTCTCTAAATAGCAAGAGGTCTACTCTCTCTCTCTCTCTCCCTAAATAACAAGAGGTCTACTCTCTCTCTTTCTCAATTAATTCAAAAAGTTTCAAATATACAAGATAAGAGAAATAATCCATATAAAACTCTCTCACTCAAACTTTATCTCTCTCTCTCTCTAAACTTTAAATAGGTAGGGGGCAGCAATCCGGCTCTACTCCGGGGCCCAACCTTGACAGGCTGAATGCGTTTGCCTTGTACCGTCAAGGCCGCATTAATTACAATAAAATTAAACGAAATAAAAACATAGGAAAAAAGGTTGAGCTAGGACGAACCGGGGTGGTCCTGTCACGTACCTAGCCCAAGGCCGGCCTAGCATAATCCTCAGGCCATGGTGGATAACCCGGCCCTCGAGCCACAATTTGTGACCTAGATCCTAATTTCTGAGGGTCCGGCTCCAATCGGCTCATTGCCTGCCCTAAATTAAGATGTGGTCTGTCTTGCTCATATACTCCCACTATAACCCACTATTTCTCACTTAACTAGAAATGGGTTTGATATTCTCTCTCTCTCAGACCAATTATTCTTTTTCTTTGGACAGAGCATTGAGGAGCTGATGAGAGGGTTGGGGTACATAAGGGGACTAGAATTTGTCATCGATCTCTCCTACTTTGATTTTCTTTACAGAGTCCATGCAGCTGAAGTTGCTCAAAGGTCAAGTGGTTCATGGCTCCGCCCTCATGCATGGCTTAACCTTTTCCTGCCACAGAAGAGCATTATGCAGTTTGATACACATGTTTTCAGGACCATGCTAAATAATGGGGTTGGTGGACCCGTACTTGTATACCCAGTCAACTCCACAATGTAAGTTTTCTCGATTAGACTCTTCACTTATGTTTCGCATAAAAAATACTTTTGAAAAATATTTTCAGGTGAAAGAATTCCTTCATGTGGTTAGACGTGAATATTTTTATACCAATTAGTCCTAGTGTATATTTTAACACCAATTGACGGCTAATTGATGTGAAAATATTATAACACTTAATCACATGAGAGAATTTTTCCATGTGAAGATATTTTTCGAGAAATATTTTTACGCAAATTAAACATGTTGGTAAGTCAACAATTTTGAAAAAATATTACTCGACTCCAAAATATAAGCTCTCAATCAACTATTTTTGCCAAAAGATTCTTTCACTATAAAATGAAAGATTTTTATCATACAATCAATTACATGGCAACCTTTGTAGGCAATGGATTATGTGCTTGTGTAGAAGTATATGTCCCTATCTAGGATTATTTGTAGGGGGCAAACTTTCTATGCTTCCCCTACAACGTAGAAGTTCTATCTTCTCCCTTATCCAACCCTCCATTCCGAATGGAGGGCTAAGATTGTCCAAATCACAATGTCACGTCTCTACACTATTTTATTTTTAATTTTTTTCTGCAAATTATTTGGCACCAAATTTTGGATATCCATTCCTCTATTAAACTCGCACTAGCGAAAATATAAAAAATATATTTTCAATAAAATAAAATGACCAAAATACCTTTAAAAGTTTTAAGGGGTATTTTGGCCATTATATTTTATCGAAAAATTATTTTTAATAGTTTTTATTGGTGTCCAATAAAAAGATGGCACGTACCAACTTTCATATTCATACAATTATATAAAAAAACTAAAAATAAAATACTTTGAGACGTCGGATCTAAGATCGAATGGTGTATGGCTCACTTAATCAAAATTGAACGTCTAAATGGTAGGGGGAGGATAGAATTTCTATGCCGTTGTGGTAGGGGAAGCAAAGTAACCTTTCCCATTTGTAGGACCCAAAATTTTGGGAATCTACTCTCTCCACACCTAGATAAAAAGAAGTTGAAAACAAAGAGAGACAAAAACAAGAAAAAGATTAACGGCACCATAAATGTTTGGAAAAAAAATGCATTCATTAATGAGAGACTATCTACTATTTTAACCGAGTCCTATGAAATTAGGGACTCAAATTCATTTATTCAAAAATATATTCTATAGTGATTTGATGGTTTTAATATCGATCCCAAAAACTTACAGAAATCTTCCTAAATTGCTCTTTTCCTTATGGGAGCAAGCATATAGTTTGCTCGTGGGATTACGATATTGGCGCTAATTATTTTCTTTGCTTTATCTATAGAGCTAGTGTTTTAAAATCTGAATTGGCGGGGTAGATCATTCATCCATAGATCCGGATTATTGGATCAGCGATTAGTTTTGTTCTGGATCAGTCCGAAATCAGTGATCTAAAAACATATAAATAGATAATAAAATAAAATAAAAATTGAAATAGGGTTTAGGGTGGAGATATAAGGAATTGAAAAAACATTATATGAGCTTAAAAAATATATATAAATTGTGAGGTTTTAGGGAGGACCGAGTTGAGACCTATACCATCTCAGAACCAATTTATTTCGGACCGATTCCTGCCTAATCGACGATCCAGATCGAAAATACCGTCTTTTAAAACTAGAACTCTAAGGAGTAAACCCCTTCCACATTCTTAGTCGTCTCTTTCCCGTCGCTGTACACGAAACAAAACTCTTTATCATATTAGTCTTACCATAAATATAAGCTTATCTCTATGCATACTTAGAGGTCAACACTTTAAAAAATTTGCGTCTATTTGCTTCACTCAATGCAAATGTTTATGCTTCTTTCTGGTTTCCAACTTGCCACCTCACAAAAGATTCTCTGTCGCATATAAATTTTTTCTCTTCATTATTATTTTATTTATTTTTTTAATAAATGTTGGGAGCAGCACTAACGATTACAACCCAATACTTGGGTCCTAAAAATACTCCTAGGGTTTTCACCCAAGGGAACATATACCCCCGGGGCCATCAAATCTTTTGGCAATATTTTTAAGGCACATGCAAGTTTTCAAACTTACATCAGCTAGGGGTGGACCGACCCTAACCTATCAGGGCTTCGCTAAGCTGAGCCAAATATAATAAAAGTGAACAAAAAATACTAAGAAAAGGACCCAGTTTCTATGAGTCCGTGCCCGCATATGTAGAAACGTGGGCCTCTTATTAAATCAATTTTTGAGATGGATTTTACGACTTAATTTTTAAAGACATGTAATCTTAACATGGGGATCATGAATATGAATAAATAAATAAATTTTAAAAAATAGAAATAGTAATTCTAGTAAGAAAACATTTGAACCGTTAGTTTCCATTGTTTTTAAATAGACCTACTTGCATCCATCTTAGAGGTGGATAGTTTACACTATCTGGACCGCATATGTAGAAATGCGATCTAGCCAGCATAAAACAATTTTCTATGAGAAAAAAGGGCTGATATAGGCAAAAAAGTGGCAGCCCTGTTGTAGACCCTGCCTGGCCCTTTCCTCGGGCCATGGAGGCCTGGCCTTATCCCGGACCTCCAGCCACATTGTAGACTAGGCCCTTGTTTTTAAGGGCTGGGGGGATAGGCCCATTGCGAGCCTTAACCCTCACCAATAATATGGCCCACAAAATATTTGTTGACTTTCTTCCTTTTTTTGACATTTTCTAATTTCTTTTTACGAAATCTATATCTAGGTGGGACCCGGAGATGAGTGCAGTGTTCCCTGAAGAAGAAGAAATATTTTATGCCATTTCAGTCCTTAGATCATTGGATGCTGATCAGCCTATTACAGTACTAGAGTCTCAAATGAAAGAGAACTCGGAAATTATAAACATTTGTAGGAGATTAGATCTCAAATGCAAGAAATATCTTGGAAGGTTTGAGAGTACAGAGGAGTGGAAAGAGCATTTTGGGAGCAACAAGTGGGAATTGTTTACAAAGAGGAAGAGCGTATATGACCCTAAGCACATTCTTACTCCGGGCCAGTCTATTTTTATGAGGAATTGAGATGAGGTGTTTGTTTTGTCCTGAGTGGGCTTTTCTCTCTGTCTTATATGTAGATTTTTAATAATGTTTTTGGGGAAAAAAAAAGTTGGTCTTGAGCCTAGATGAAAAAGGAGGAGGGTTTTGTTAGGTTGGCAACCAATATAAAACTCTGTAATGTCTTTATTATGATTTCTGATCCAATAATGATGATTGAAATTAGGAAAAAAGGTAATAGTTGAAACCAGCTTTTTAAAAAACGCCGAGTCGAACTGGACTCGCCCGGTTCGACTCGAAAATCGTGAAAGGGGACCGGATAGCCTAAAAAATCGGAAATCGTCCGGTTCTAGAGAGAACCGGACGATTCTGTACAGTGAATTGCCGATTCACTGTACGAGAACGGCGAGTCCGAACAGTGAATCGGCGAGTCCGTACGGTAATTTTTTTTTTTTTTTTTGTAATCCATGATAGATTTTTTTGTAATACTTGATCGATTTTTTTGTAATCCATGATCGAATTTTTTGGTTTTTTGTAACCCATAATAGATATTTTTGTAATCCATGATCGAAATGTTGGTTTTCTTTTCTTGAAATCCATGATCGATTTTTTTGTTTTTTTTTTTTTTGTAACCCATAATAGAATTTTTTGTAATCCATGATCGAATGCTTTGTAATACATGATCGAAATGCTTGTTTTTTTTTTATAATCCATGATCGAAATGTTTGTTTTTTTTTTGTAATCCATGATTGAATTTTTTGTTTTTTGCTTTTTTTGTAACCCATGATTGAGTTTTTTGTAATCCATGATTGAATTTTTTGTAATCCATGATCGAACTGTTTTTTTCTTTTTTGTAATCCACGATTGAATTTTTTGTTTATTTTTTTTTGT